GGGGGGGGGGGGGGGGGGGGGGGGGGAAGGCGAAGAAATTAATCAAATAGGGGGGAGGGGACCGTACAATTCAATCTATTTCATAGATTTTTCCAGTGAAACGAGAAAAAATCTGGGCTTATGAATGAAGATTTCACAGCATAAAAAAATGATGATGATGTGTAGAATTCTGAGAAGAGTAGAGAGTGATATTTCTGGCTTCGTAGGGGCATAATAAATGGATTTTTTCTATTCTGATCATGAAAGATATCAACTCGGAAAGCGTTTTATTTCACAAACAGACCACACACACGAAAGAGCAGCCACGTGCACGCGCGCATACCACTGCGCAATACTGTGTATTTATGATGTGCCCAAAATCAGCGCCACAATCATACCATAGAGGCCCAGCACCTGAAAATTACCGAACATTAGATGCTAAGATATTTATTAGACTTAAGCAAAATTGACACTTATTAGACTTATTAAATAAAAGTAACGCATACTGAAAGTATTAAAGACTGAAACCTGTAAAAAAAACTGGAAAAATTAATAATTCATCCGACTGTTTTACTTAGAGAAGAGGCGGTGTTCGAGACAAGGTTATTTTGTTTAAAATACACGCCAAGGATGGCTCAAAAGAATTCTAAATCCTCGGTAACTGCTTTTGCCGAGAGAACCGTTGGACTTTCTTTCGCATATCCGTCTTGCAAATTAGTGACATCAAGCAGTTGGATGCGTGGAATGCCCCTTAAAGATTGAAACGGGAAGCAGTTCTCTCTTCCGATCTTGAGAGAGTATCAATGGAAGCCTGGCGATGGCGAATCACAGAAGCCCAAGTACTTCTTCCTTTCCTCCTTTCGTCTTTGCGGCTTGGTGTACATTAATTACGCAAATAATTTTACTCGGTGTTATTTTATATATAGGCAGTTAGCGACTAAATCATAAATTATGAACAGTTCGGACAAAACCTTCATAAGTCCTAAAATGAGGGCACAGGGAGCAGCTTTGCTAGTAATTTTACCAATCAAATGCACCTGTTCAATCTATACAGGCAACCCCTTGCTCCAAAAAAGGATAATGTATAAAAAATCGTAAAAACTACAAAAAAAAAAATATACGTGCCTCGGAGAAAATGAGAATAAGGATCATGCCGACGAAAAGTCGTGGTTGTTGAGCGGTTCCTCTTACTCCAGCATCGCCAACAATACCGATTGCATAACCGGCACCCAGGCCACATAGGCCACATGTCAGGCCAGCTGCCAGATGTGCAAAGCCTTTGTCTAATGTGTAGCCGGCTGATGCTTTTGTCACCTTACCTTTCAGTACCATTGCAACCTGAAATAATAAAATGGGCTAAAATGATGAAAAAGAATTCCTAGGGGTCCAACTCAGTTTTTTACTTTCCTTGTAGTTACAACCTTTTTCATAACTTCACGAAATATTCCAATTCACACTACTGGGATGTATGTATCCAAGTGTAAAGTGAAAATTTCCCATCTTTTTTTTTTAAACCAAATTAAACCAATTACCAAATTTCTTGGGTTTCGGTGGCAATCTGAGCATTAAATTGTAACCAAAAAAAAAACCAAAAAACATACTTCAAAAAACCGTTTGATAGGCAATCTTATTGAAAATATTCAAAAATTCTCAACTGTTTTTTGGGCAACCTAAGTGACTCAGATTTCGGTAAAAAATTTACGGTTCAAACCCACACATAGGGTATGTGTGGCACCCACGTGCGGGCTCGTGAAAATTTTTTTCGGGTAAGTTGATAATTTGGGGATCTGAGAAGCTAGAAAGCTGAAATCTTAAGAGGATGTTCGCCGTCCAAGTAAGTATTAATGAGCTCAAACCCTGCGCCCGCGGAAACGTGGTACCCGCGTACTCGCCCGTCAAAATTTTTTTCGGGTAAGCTGATAACTCGGAGAAAAAAAAAGCAAGCGAACTTACCACTAGGCCATAGATACCAATGATACCGGCCATAATGACCGGAATCACTGATTTCATGATCAGTTCCGGACGCATCACACCCATACTGGAAATACCAACAGCTGATTTGGCTGTTCCATATGCTGCTCCGAGTACCGTGAAAATTTGTGCCGATGCTGCACCCATGTATCCGAAGAATGGTGAATAAGCGGGGCTTTCGGCCACGGTCAGATCATACGATGACGACATTTTTTACTTGTTTTTCCTGTTTTGTTCGTCCTTCTGAGGCTAGAAATTATTGGTAGAAAACCTGAAAAAGAGCATTAAAATTTGATAAGCAAAAAAAACCCCCGGATCCCAGTAGTAAGGGGGTATATCCCGAATTTGAAGGAACCCTCTCAAGCATTTTCTCGTTCTCAATGAACTAAATAATCCAAGTTTCATGGTGCTCCATACTTGATACGGCGTTTCTGTTACTGACGCGCTGTTGACCTTCTCCAGTGACTGAGCCAAAAACCAAGCCACCGAGGTGATAAAAATGCTCATTTTTGTCACCTTATGAATGGATCTTGCTTCACAAAGCAGCAGAAATGAGCATTTTTTTCGTTTCCGTCCACCAATGCCTAAAATCGTAGCACAGCTACAAATCGTAGGTCCAAGTAACCTAAGCCAAACTGGAGCTCAGCAATGGAACTTTAAAAAAAAAACATGTAATTTCCATCCCCCCGGTATTTTTTCATACTCTTTTTGAGAGGTGAAAGCATCGAAAAATAGTCCATATGCCAGGGTTTTTACCAGGAACAACCATCCATCAGTGAAGCTGGAAACTATGGAAAGTGATGGAGTGGTTCAGAGCTGCACAAATGAAGTAGTAGCACTAGTCCGGACATGCAATAAAATGCCCGAAATTTGCCGTTTTCTAGCACCCGCCTAAGCCGATTATGGACAAAAATCCGGTCCCGATCGAAAAAAAATTGTCGGAGGGTGCACTTGGTCTGCTGTCTGTAGAACCAACAAAGTTAAAAATGCAAATTTCAATGTTAGACATTTTAAAGAATTTTGTAATTCAGGCAGTAACTTGCAGGTGCGACAATCATGCGTGTTTACATACGATTCCAGCCTGTATTACCGGACTCTGGCGAAAGTGTTGCAATTTGAACATTTGATACACAAAACCCACGTCTGGCCGGAAGTTCATCTTACGCTTGGCAGCTGGCGAATGAACACCAGACATTCTCAGAAAAATGCTGCTTCCTGTTCAGTCTGGTTACCGAGTTAATTGGATGCGAACAATGCCCCGAACAAAATATTTAATTGTGTGGATGCAAGACCTAGACGTACTTCAAAACTTACTGAATTTGAAATAAGTCCCTTCCGTCTTTCCATGAGCTTGAAAAATGCCTTTTTTTCGAGTACACTTTTACTAAAGGCGATGAATTTTGCTGTTAATTCAATACTTTCAGTCTAGGCTGCAAAAATTTTGCCCTCAGAAGCAAAATGTATTCCTCTACTCCCATAAAAAATCGTACATGACTGATAAATTGATGCTTTTATCAACCGCAATTCATAGTGTCATTTCCCAACAATTCAGCCGGAAACTTTTCAGTTGCTCTGACCAATGCTGCATCGCCAGGTGCCCCTTGAGGACCGTTTCGTCCCTGAAGGGGTTACCAACTCAAAAACGAATTTCCTTGTGGGGAAAAAGAAGCTTTGTCCATTATTATAGGCCAATGAACTATTGAAAAATGGTATTACTTATTTCACAACCTGTCAGGATAACGCAAAACCCAATTTGCCCAAAAACGTGAAGGAGGACGGATGGTACCAAAAGAACAATACTTATTTCCAATTGAATAAACAAAGTTCTACGCCCAACTTGCCCGCAAACGTGAGGGAAGGATGGTGCCAATAAGGGCAGTAATCAATTCCAAAGTTTCCTTTTTCCTCCACCACCAACACTATAAACAGGAATTGATTCGAGCTCAAACGATGCGGTAAATTGATGTTCTCGAATCCCTCAGGATGATTCATCCATGACACACAAACATCAAACAATGATTCACAAAAAAACAGCAAAAAGATCGCATTTGCTTCAAATCAAGAGATATGCTCGATGCAAAACTAGCTAAAAGAATTTCTAATCGAAGAAATTAAAGGATAAATTAAAGGATCAGAGGTTACTGTTCGATGCAAAACCAGCTACAAGAACTCCTAGTACAACAAGGAATTAAGAGATCAGAGATTACCACAAGTTCTGTTTTGCGGGCAGGACCAAAAGCGGTAAATAAGCAAAAACAAAGATCGAAAAAATGTAAGAAGAATCGAATACTGATCTAAAAATTCAAAAAAAAAAAAAAAAAAACACTGGAAAGAAAAAAAAAATCCAATAAAGCCATCAACGGCTTGTCGTTTCATAAACGACTTATCTACACAGTTTAATCGATGCTGATTTCGTATTAGCTTTATTCAAGCATATCACAATATCGCATAATTTTAAACACATATACAAATTACAGATGGAAATGAACATACAAAACTGTATATCACTGAACAATTAAAAAAAACTACTGGAACAAAACCTGGAATGGCAACAAAATCACCAAATTTTTTGCAATTACTAAAACTCGGCCCACTTACACCTAGGTTTGGGCCCAGATTGCGAAGTCCCTGATTTTGCACAGATACCGGGTTTCTCATTCAGGCTAGTATTCAAACGTTGCATACAAGCTTATTCAGTTTTAAACCAGCATCTAAATCCCTACTCAAGGATCATAAATACACAGAGCTCCCCCAAAATCCTTTTAATCCCTACCTTCAAGCACAGTCTCATCATCCTCCCAATCAATATCTATGTTTCTTCATATCTGCTACAACCCCCTAAGACCTTATCTCCTACTCCCCGGTTCGCTATCTCCAGCCCATCCAATTCTACTACTACCACTATCGTTATTCGAGAGAAGTACACAACAACCACTGATTGCAACACGTCTCCCAACCTCGCAGAGCCGAGCCGAGTTTTAGTAATTGCCCATATTTTCAATCATAATACAATTTTCTGGTACGCTTATCTGCTACACCACTGAAAAATGTTCAAATAGCCGTTCTATGTACTCAAGTATATTACAACATCTGGAATTCGAGGAAGCTGGATTCCAGCACATAAATTACAAAAGCATCTACAAATCTTTAATAAACCTAGAACTGGATTTCTGCAAGGAACTGCCTTAGATCTGTAAAAATTTCCAAAACACTATCGGACTCTTTCATGCCTATGCCAAAAGTTTCAGACTTTCGTTAAACAATTTAAATTTCTATAGCATAACTTATACTAACTGAAGAATTCTAACAGCTACTTGAAAAAAAAAATCAATTTCAGCACTTTTGTTGGAAATTTCCCCACTTTTGTTGAAAATTTCTGCACTTTTGTTGAAAAATTTTTTCTCGTTTCGTCCAAAAATTCCCCCAAGAAAAGCCTGGAGACTGTTTGTGTTTGACTGGTTTTCCCCTTTTTTCCTCAATTTTTTTGAAAAATTGATTCATTAGAGTTTCTACTCTACATAAGAGATAAAAGCAACACCTGCATGATAGAAGTTTGCCAACAGCACCCACTGATAACAGTGGATTTGTTTCAAAATCGTTAAAATTTTCACAGAATAATGGCTATTACTACTACTACTACTACTATGAAGCAAATTCAAAGCATTTCTGATATGTCCCAGAAATAAACTTTGCAAAACTACCGTGTATCTTATAAATCCCTCAAAAAAAGCCTAAGTTCATCTTCCCCAAGGCAGCTTTTTCAACCGGATCATCTTTCCGGTTTTTGGTGTCCAAACTGAGAAAACTAAACAAGCATTCGCAATGAAAAAAGCTTCGTTTTGAAAAACTATTCCAATGTCCACCACAATTTCCCGCATGTAAAAGTCGGCTTCTGGAGCGAAAAAAAAATCGGCGCACAGAGTTTTGCAAACCTGATATTTCTGAGGAAGCGTGCAAAAAGGAAAGAGCCGCACAAGGCCAAAGATGCCCATCACCGTGCACAAATTCAAAATCATTACACAGTTTTTTACAGCTCAGGGATGAAACACTGACAGTTTATCAAGCCACTATATATAGGAGGCTTACCTATTTGGGCGAACTAAATGGCATTTGCAGTTTTTCAATAATTATCGAAATTCGATTGTGTTCCTCTCCACGGTGGACCAACAACGTCAGACAAGCAGCATGTGTTAACATAGAGACAATTTCAGGCCTCCGTACTTTTCCAGCGGCCTCCTAGCCAGGGATATTCATTGTTTGTATGTTTAAAATTTCTACAGCATTTTATACGGCAACTTGCTCGTCCCCACTGCCCTTATCCCTCAATTTTGCCTCCATTCGGCTGAAGATGATTATGTTGCTCCCAAAATCAGAGCAACAATCATACCGTAAAGGCCGAGTACTTCGGCAAAAATTAATATCAATATCATTCCTACGAAAAATCGCGGTTGCTGTGACAGTGCCCGGACACCTGCATCACCAGCGATACCGATTGCGTAGCCAGCACCCAAACCGCAAAAACCGCACACCAAACCACCGGCCAACTGGCTAAATCCCTGATCGATTGTGTAATCGGAATCCAGACCCCCGGGCATCACACGCCCCGCATAGATCACAGCAACTACCAATCCATAAATTGCAACGATACCTGAAAGAAATCTGCTCACACATCGTCAGCCCCTTACTGGTAAAAACCCCCTTCAAAAGAGGAAGTCATCGAAAACCTTGAAAGTGTAAAGTTGCTCTGTTACTACCTGCAACCTTTGGAACCCTTTTTCGAGTGCGCATGGCTCTTATACACACAAATACACGCACATGCACGCAGACACATACACATATATACATATACATGCACACATATATATACACACACATACGCGTATATACACACACACATACACAGGAGCACACACACACACACACACACACTCATACGCTTATATACATACGCACATACACATACACATGAGCACACACACACACACACAAACATAGACACATGCATACATACATATACACACATACATACACACGCACACACATATACAGATAAATATACACATATACAAACATACACACATATATACACATATACACACATACACAAACAAACACACATGTATGAACATACACGCGCACACACATATACATAGACGCATAAATACATGCACGCGCATACACGAATATATACATATACACGCATCCACATGCATGCACACCCACACGTACATTTACTCTAAGGTACTTCCAATTACAGCGAAAACCACAGTGTGGTGATATGTTCAGGATCAACCCGGAAAGCATGAGTTCGTTGGTGTGTGAAAACAAATCGATCTACGATTCGTTACATCAAATATATCGGTTTACCGAACATGCCACGAGGTCTTTTCGCTTCCAAAAACCCTTGGAAATTATCTTTTGCCAACTGCCAATCCGATCACTCCCCAAAAATGCCTCAATTTCTCACAGAATGTAAAATTGGTACCAAAATTGGCAAAAAAAACACTATAATTTTCAACAATTCTACTCTTCCCCTCATAATTTTCCCGCAAAAAGTCTTTTGGGATCGGTGTTCCTGGGTATCGAAAACTAGCACAAGGCAGTCCTGGTTCGGGCTATCAGCACGAGTATCCCATGTTAGTGATGTTACTGGTATGCTCCGATAAGCCGGATTGCAGTTATGTCAGCCCCTTGATCCTGCACCAATGCAAATTTACTCATCGCCTGTTCAAGAGAACTGAAAATATGTATAAATTTATGCACAAATTATGCAAATTAAAGGCTTATCTAAGGGGAATTTATGCTAATTCGAGAACTGATAATATGCATAAATTTATGCACAATAGGGGTCCAAATTATGCAAATTAATTGCTTTTCTAGGCGAAAATTATGCAAATTCATGATTCATCTAAAAATAATAAATTATTACAAATTTCCAAAAAAAAAAATCAAACTAGTAAAATATACATGTGTCGCTAGGGGCAAAAAAATTTTTTTGCTTACCGGCCATAACTACCGGGATGATTGCTTTCATGACCAGATCGGGGCGGGCAACAGCCATCGATGCAATGCCGGTGCCCGATTTTGCGGTGCCATAGGCCGAGCCGGCTGCCGTGAACATCATTGCTGCCGAGACACCGAGCGTCCCGAAAAATGGCCCATACATTGCATGCTCAGCAATTTCGACATCCCGGGAGCCGCCGCCAGCGTGGGCCGACATCGCCGAATCCTGAAAAATCAAAGTTGCGCACTTTCCGAAGTCAAATCTCCCTGTCAAATTTGGTCTTTTTTGAGAGGCAAAAGCACTCGAAAATGGCCTAAAACGAAGCTCCCAGTGGACAACCTCTTTCGAGGATTGCTTAGAAGCAAGCCAGACTTGAGCCCCCGACATGTGCCAGTACCAATTTACCATCGAAACTAATGAACGGATGTAGAGGGGCTGTTATAATCATTGCAGTCGGTCGATGCAAATCCTTGGCTATCATCAGACTTATGAATTGCCACTGTACGTACTCGAAGACCGAGATATCCGGGCAGGGGGG